TTAGCGCGTCTGCAAGGGTTGGTCCGTATTTTCAGTTTGTTCTATTTATTTTGATGAGATACCCATTAGATCTACAAACCAATAAAAGAATTATCGGGGTACAGAATTCGAGTGTCAATCAGGTAGCAAATCTTAGCGACTGCACACTCAGTCCATTGCTAGAATGACCTTACTTATGCTTCAGAACTACTTCGCAATACTAGACTGGTCACACACGCCTCATTCCTGGGCTGCGCGTACTCAACTACTACCCGACCACTACACTCATATACTGGCTGAGGGTCCCGCATTTTGATCGCAACTTGCGAACGATTGCTTCTATCCTACCTCTGTCCGCGACCTTATGGACAACCCGCAACATTACCAACCCCTGTCGCATGCGCTCCATCCGCCGTCTGCATCTACCACTGTTCAACCACAGGCTACCTACACGCCGGATGCCATGTACCAGCAAAAAGCTTCCATGAATGACTCTGGTACTCATCGCGAAGAGGAAGAAGAGGAAGAAGAGGAGGAAGATGATGACGATGAGGGTATGGTGGAGGAGCAACTCAGTCGGAATGAGCCTGATAATCAAGCCAGTAATCCTGCCTCTCCGCCCGATAGAACACATGGGTAAGCATTGCACCAAATCCCTAGATGACAAGACTTATCATTCCGTCTTTCCAGCTCTGCGGATAACCAGAATCAGCCGCCACACGACGAACCGTCTTCTACACAAGAACCGGAGCCAAAGCGGCGTCCAGGTCGTCCACGAGGTTCCAAGAACAGGAGACCTCGCGCAGCACCAGGCCCTCCGAAGCAAGATCCTCCTTTCCAGTATCAAGGACAACCAATGAATGCTACAGTCGCTCCTCCCCAGCAGCCTGAAGTAAATTCTCAAAATCAGCAGTACTATGAATTCCAATGGCGCGTGTTGAACCTGTGTGCAGAGTTTTACACTGCTGCTGAGGAACTAGTAGTGAGTGAATGTCTCTTAGGTTATATACTTCGCTTGACTCCCAATAGAAAGGCACTCCACCATTGGTGGTAGCTCAATGCTACCACATGGGACCTGGCATCAAGGTCGATCCTCTGACTATGCTTAATGACGCGAAACGTATCTGTGATACCTTGGTAAGTTGACCTAATTGAATTTCTGGAGACTTCCCTTACGATTTGCTGCAGCTTGCCAACCCTTCGCAACTTGTTTCTCAACCTCCACCACCCATTTACCCAATAATACCCACATTGTACCAAGCTCCGTCCCAACCGCAAGCTCCGCCCGTTGCTTCGACATCTGCCTCCTCCAGCAAGCCTACCAGTACTGTTAGCGTTATCACTAATCCTCAGACATTCGTAGTTCCCCTCGGCGCACAACCAGCATATCCACATTATCCTGTCTACGCCCCACCACCTGCTGGGCAATATCCGACGACGCCGTATTACCACCAATACGCAGCGTATCATCCGACCGCATATTATCCTCAGCAGGTGCAGACCACGGCTCCCCAACAACCTGCTGCTGGGACATCGACGGCTACGACCTCCGTTTCTGCACCACCTGTCGTCGCCACGACCACTAGCGGTGCTGGTACTATGCAAGGTGCATGGTCAGATGAAGAGACGGAGAGGTTGAAAAAGCTGGCTGAAGATAGCAAGTCTGTTGGAACTACAGGTGAAATAGAGTGGGACTGGGTAGTACATCAATGGGGACACGGACGTACAAGGTTTGTACTTTTCGCCTAGCCCCCTTGAAGACACGATTCTGACTATGATCCAGACATCAAATTCTCATCAAAGCTACATCATTGGGTCTGAAAGAAAGCTCTTCAAGAGGAGTCAAACGGCGCCGCGAAAACGAAGGCACAGATGCAGCTAGCCCTTCGGTACCGCCAACGCCTACTATCTCTGCGAATCCCGTAAATGCTTCATCCGCAGCAGCATCAGCCTCTCCTTCGCAGAGTCATTCTGCCTCTACCCCGACTGCTTCTCCCGCTTTACAAAACCAACAAAGACCGTCCTCTTCGAAAGGCCATGGCGCTTCGACTTCGTCAGGTCTTCCTTACCCTATGCCAACTGTTGCTCGAGACATCACATCGCCTGTAATACCTACGGATCAGCAACGAACCAGCTACTATCGTCCGCGTCCCACGCAAGGCGAACCATCGCCCAAACCTCCTTCGACCTCGTCTTACTCGGCATCACACCACTACATGTACCAACCAAACGGGGGTACAGCATCAAGTTCGCGGTCTGCGAGAGAAAATGGAAAATGAGGGAAAGCGGGATACTTTACAGGCCTTGGATGCTTGCTATTTATCTGCTTGGATCGCTGGGTTGCATATTTCTTGTGAATTGTGGTATGTAATAAGTACATGGATGCTATTTTAATTTTCTTGCGCGTATTTACAGTTGCGCGTGTTTACTGACGACATCTGGGCCGTCTGGAGCAAACAACCGTCATCGCCGTGTCGTCATTGCGTGAATGATGCGCTGATGTCATTTCTTTAAACCCCACAGCGTGCGCGGTATCATGGAGCATCTCGAACTGTGCCAATATTTATACGGAGGCTCAGTCTGTAAATCTGCATTTTAATACTCTCCTCCATCCGCGCCCTCTCCTCTTTTATTATAACATTCACGACAGATACGACTGCTACAATGACTTCCATCAACCGCGATATCCCAGTCACCACCGGAGACGCTCTCCCCAGTTCAAACAAATCTTCCCCGACCCTCCTCCCGGATCCTAAAGCCACTATCTCACAAGAGCCCGCCGATAAATGGGCAACTCAGACTCTAAACGCTCTCTCACCTCCTGCAACACACCAACAAAACACCGCTATGCACCATGACTTTGCTTCTGCCGTTGGTAACGATGGCATTGCCTCAAACGTCACTACTCCTGGACCAGACTTTCCCGGTGCATACCCAGGAACACATCCTAAGCCTGAAGCCGTCGCAGCCGACGTGGAGAAGGCAAAAGATTTATTGGCAGAATCTGCTGGCACAGCACAGGTTACCCTGAGCGAGGCAGCAGAACAGGCCAAAGTTCAAGCAGCTGGACTTATGACCACCGTTGGTGGATACGTCGAGAATGCTGCTGGATACTTGCCGGAGAGTGTCAGAGGATATATGCGTGGGTCTTTTATCATTTACTTTGTTCTCGAATATGACTAAGTCTATCCACTAGCAGCGATTGGCAACAACAATACCAATACCACTACTCAGAATAGCCTCCCTTCCTCCGAAACCTCCCAGAACTATCACCCATCCTCTTCAGGCGGTGCTGGAACCCTTCCTGGTCCCCCAGGAGAGCAGGGCGTCGCAACTCTCCCCGATGAGCGTCTAGCTCCTGGCCATACTTCCGAGGATGTTACCGCTGCCGCCGCTCACACTACCCCTACGAATCTCGCTGGAGGCGTTGGCGATCTCCCCGGCTCCTCGACAGAGACTGGCGTCGCGAAGTTGCCTGAGGAACGCAGACAAGAAGGTCTCCCGTCACATGACATGACTGGCCTTCCTGGAAAGAAGGATGAGACTGGTGTTGCCAAGATGCCGGAGGAGAAACAGAAGGAGAGAGATGACGCACACGGAGGTACTTGCTTCACTTTGGTCTTTGCTTCTTTTTCATGACAACGTTCATCTAGTCCTCCGCGACGCAATCCAAAGCACCTCCGCACCCGATGCACCATACCTTTCTTCTTCTACCACCAGCGCCGGAACCGGTGCCGCCGCCTTCAATACCACCGACGGAGCTTCCTCTACTGCATCCACTCGCACCCTTGCCGGGTCCAAATATGCGCCATCGTCGACCACCCTCGGTGCCGCCGCTGTTGGTGCGGGAGTAGGTGCAGGAGCCACATCTGTTGGCCATGGAACAGACGAGACCCACGACTCCACGAACGCTACCACCGGTCACTCCAGCAACACTGGCAGTGGAATGGCGGGCAAGGCGATGCAGCTCGAGAAGGACGTGGAAGCCAAGATTCCAGGTACTGAGGAGCACAAGGCCCAGAAGTCGGAGCCTCAGGATATGAAGGACTCGCGAGAGAAGGCGAAGATGCCCAGTGAGGGAGTACCTGCTCAGGGAATCAAGAGTTCACATACGGGAATCGACAGCAACAAGGTAAGCTTCACATTTTCCTTCAATCACTGAAGCTCAAATTAATCGTGTTAATTCCTCAGGATCTCCCTAACGCTCCCAACACTACAGGCCGCGCACACGAGCTAGGCAACCCCGACTCACAATGGAAGGGTCAGGCAATGTCTCCTCAATCCGACCGCGCAACTGCAGGACACGGCAGCATGCGCGCATTTGACTCGGATCGCGCAGAGCACGGCCATACACTCGGAAAGGAGAATGAAACCACAAGCACGGGCCCCGCTGGGGAACGTCTCGCAATGGCTGCAGCGGGCGATAAGACCGGCGCATATGATTCCCATTCGACCGTTACCGGATCTGGTGCTGATATCTCTCCCAAGGGTTCCTCGACGAAAATTGTTGATGACGGACGGACGTCGTCCGACAGCAAGAGCTCATCTGGCCTTTCACGGAAGAAGACACCCTCCCCTCGACGTGTTGGTGCTGACGGAGCACACAAACCAGGATTCATGGATAAGCTGAAGGGTGAAGTGAAGGTTATCAGTGGGAAACTTGGACACAACGAGCAGAAAGTGGAGGAGGGTAAAAAGATGATGGGGAAGAACTAATTAATTCTTCTGCACTTGTATCACTGACTGTTCTTTCACTGCTTTCTCCTCTCGGATACTACATACTTCTTTTCCCCTCTATATCTCTGTAGCATTCATTCAATCGCGAACAAATGTAATATCTCATAATGTATAATAGACTTGAGTTTGTCAACTCTACAGATGTTGAATATTGAAGACTTACAAACGTTTTGTTACCCCTGTCTATGTCATCGTACATATGAATATTATGGATATAGACATCAATTGACTGGGTTTTGTTTTTCAAAGTTTAAATAATGATTTGTGCAGTATACCATGATATATCCTTCTTAGCTCAGTTGGTAGAGCGCGTCACTAGTATTATGGAGGGACCAAAATCCTATGACGAGGTCAGTCGTTCAAGTCGGCTAGAAGGAAATTTATTAGATAGAGTGCTGAAGTTCGAACTTACCTTTTTGTTTCGGCCGAGGGCTCACGGCAGCTTGCTCCGCTAGGGAAGGGTCCAATTACCTTCGGGGAAACGAAATCCTTCGAAAAACTATCGTGTAACTTATGCCGGACCGATACTTTCCGGACCATTGAACTCGTTGCTGTATGCCTGTGCTTCAGTACCATCATATCGTTTAGCATGTCTTCTACACCCTCCGCATCAGGCCAACGGGTCTCGTCTATTCCTCGCCCACTTCCTTCTCCGCTACGTGCCACGTCTGAATCTCGGGATCCGTCAACGCCAACGCAGTCCTCGACATCGAGCCACAAACCACGCCCTGTCTCCGCAACACCACCACCGCAGAAAGCGCGAGCTCGGGATCTACTCAGGAAACACTATGGACTGGGAGTTGGCCCACCACCACCGTCATCGAAAATCTCAGCGGATCCAATGAACCTCAGTGCGCACAGCCAATACATGCTTTAGACAGTGACGCTGACCATGCGTTATCCTAGATTCCCCTGCTTTCGATGCTAAAAGCTATTATGAACAACTCATAACCACATCGTCGCTCCCAGCATTACTGAAGAGAGAGAATGAGCTTCTCACAGGTTGGTTTACTCCCAATAAAGAATTCTGCTGCGCTAAGTTCTTTATGACACAGAGATCCGACAACTCGATAGCGAGAGACAATCATTGGTTTACAATCACCATCACGAGCTTATTGCAGCCAGTGATACCATTGCTACTGTGGGTGAAGGCCCCCATTTGTTCGACGCTGTCTGACATGCTACCTACAGATGAAAACGCGAGCAGAGAGTCTTGACGCAGACCTCGACCTTCTGAAAGCAGCATTCTCCGAAATATCAAGGTTAGCAGCTGAAGTTTCAACTGAGCAGAATTCAACATCATAAACATGGTGGTAAGCACTACGGTGTTGTTACTTGCTAGTAAATACATCCAATAACTACGTGATGCATACTGTATGTCTTCTCAACATTCTCGCTTTGTTCCAGGGATTGATTCGACCCAGAATCATTGTTTAGACCGTCTTCGGGATCCAGAGCTCAGGCCGCCAATATGATCCACCACAGTGAATCAACCTGGTCACGAAGACCTCTGGACCTATTATACCCCGACGTCCATTGGGCTGGATACCAATGGCCCACTTCTCGAATCCAGCTTCAACTGGAATATGTTCCACCTAAGAAGAGATTAGATGAGCATTGTGTATGTGCGAGTTGTATTAGATTGTGGGACTAACAAGAATTTTGCGGACGTATTGTATAATTGCTTTTGCTAGCACCATAAGTATCGTCTCACGGGTAACTTTCCCGTTCAACGTCTTGATTCGTTTCTGGAATGGCACCGTGCTATATCCAGGCCACTATAATGAATCGTCAACAGGCCAAACTTTTCCTGCAACAACATAATACGAACCATAAGTTTAATTGTGATCTCTCTGTCTACAGCCTTTTCTAACACCGTGTCATCTCCTCCTTCGATTGCCGGCATACATCGGTCAATGACCTTCCCCAGCCTCATACCAGCTTCAGGAAAGTGCAGTGCCTGAAATGTGATAGGAGGATACCTAGGCTCTTCGTAGGACCTGCTAGCGAACTTGATAGTGGGTATGCGCTGTGGAAGGAGGATATGATTAGTAGGAGCCTCCATATCTGGATCCTCAGGATCTTTAGAAATAGGTGACTCGTGTTCTTTGGCACATGTACAATTCTTGCAATGCTTGCAGCGAGATTTCTTGGCTGAGGTATTATGCTGAAGAAGGTCGCTACTGCCAGCACGCGTCCATGTCGGGGTAGGTGAACGTAGGCCACCGTGCTGAGTTGCTGGAGGGGAATATGGATGCAATGTTGAAGCACGTGAAATGGATGATCTGCCACCTCTGTACACTTTCTATAGGAACATTAGACGCGTTATATTGCTGTATTAAAACACTACATACCCGACTCTCAGCCCGGCTCTCGTTTATGTCCGCGCTAAAGTCCAGCGCTCTTAACAGGGATTCATGCGCAGCCGTTGTAGGTGGGCACGTATTGACGTGATTTGAGGTAACAAAGGGTACTGTAGACGGATAGCTATGCGTGTGAGAGATCGGCGGGGAATTGTGGTACATTTCAGATACATAAGAGAAGCCATGGCTACTCCGAGACGGTGGGTGCAATTGCGGGGGGCAGGGCTGTGTAGGGTAGGTTTGAGTAGGGTAGGTTTGCGAGGAAATATAGGACGGTGAAGAGGAATATGACTGTGAAGAGGAGTAGGATCGTGAGGTAGAGGAATAGGATGACGATGAGGAGAAAGATGGAGATGGAGAGTAGGGTTGCTGCGAAGCAAATGACTGAGAGGTGACAGGGTATGGTTGAGGAACCACAGGATATCCATGGCCAGCAGTAGGATACGAATATGACGAGGCAGGGTTATGCGTCCAGTCTTCGAAGGTGTAAGACATGTCGAGGTAGATGATAGCAATGTGGGTAACGAAACATAAAACGTAGATCCATTTTAAATAACTGACGCAACGGTCAAAGCTGCATGGAAAAATGTCTGAAGTCATGACTGGCCACCATCGCCCATAGTAGAACCGAAGGCCACCGGCGGAAATTACCATGTTAAGAATGTGGATTTGACATTGTTCCCCGCCTTTGTGAAAGTGCAGTACAGTTTGGACACTGGGCCACTCGCCGCTTTGACAAACGTAGGTAAGGAAATTGCGTAGGACCAGAAAAAATTGCACGCTTTGGCGATAAGATGAAGCTGTTTCTTCAGCTGGGTTGATGCATAGCGGGCTCAGAGCCGAACTTCAGAAGGCAGCGAGTGGCTCGAAGTGTATATTGAGGATATCTTCGCGAAATTCATACGGGAATCCAATTCAATTTGGCTGACAAAGATTCTACAAAAGTAAATGGCAAAACAGAGAGTGGTGCAATATGCCAATGGTAGACCATAAAGTGTCTCTGGGCCTGCGCGTAGTAACGTTGAAAGAATGAAGATAAGTAACAAGGAATGATTCTTTGTCATCTTTTCTAATGCTCAATTAAAAACCGTCAACATACTTATGCACGTACCTTTCAACGTGAAAAATAATGGCTCTCTCAACAACGAGTCTCACAAAGGGGGATCGAGGTCGTTGTTTATTAGACATTTTCAGGTGAAACAATGGCATTACTGCATGCGGGAATTTCGGCGACATCGTTGAATCTACCTATTGAAATCCTCTCATTGGATGAGAATCATCCATGCTAAGATGAAATAAAATAGACTATACATCGACTGTGTCAGTAAAACAAGTAAAGAACGAAAATCGAAACTAACAGAAGTGGGTATACAGCAAGCAGAATACGTTGTTGCTCGATTTTGGTGCCGTCCAGAAAGTTAACGGAAGCTACGAAGGTGAAGGGTCAGTGTGAGTATTTGTTTATGAAAGTGAAAACGCTCACCCCATATGGACCATGCCCAACACAGGAGAGCGACAGGTGCACGAATCCACATAAGGCGGACGAAACACGAGATCAAGGCAGCAATGTCCAGGGGAGCAATGCAGTATCCGAGGACACATAGACCTTGGAAGAAAGAGCTTGAGAGTATAAGTGAGCCTCGAAGTTGAAAAGATACTAGGAAATATTTACACTCGGCCTCCCAATAGCTGTGAAGGAGATAATGAGTACATACAGTAAGAAAGCACATTGTATATTCACCTTAGCTTGTATTGTGACCGTCAAAGCTCCCAGCGAGCAAATAACTATCACACTGGTGAAGACGCCAAGCGACTGAGTAGGCGGTGCCTATGTGTATCCCGTTAGTGATGATAAGATACGATATGACAAAATCGCGAACATTGATACTAAGCATTATTCCAAGTAGAAGGCAGAGTAAGAGAGGTCCCCAGAGGTCCCAATCCCTAAAAAGGAGGTTATGAGGCTCTATCATGGAAGCTACATCAACGGCTTACTAACTTAAGAACTTCGCGGCCACTTGATTTTCGCGGATAGAGCACTTGTACAAGCTTGGAATATATAGAGAGAAGATCTCGAGCCTAACATGAACGAGCTTATTAACCAGGTTCAAGTAGATCTAAGTAGGACACACAATTGTTGTCGTGACAGGCTCGTCAAGAGTGTCGACGCCTGTAAATCTACCAGCCTAGATGCGTCAGAGTAAGGCTAAGGATGTTTCTTGTAAACCCACCGCGTCTCAACTTGCACACCTCCAACCGTCTGCCGTGTTGCGGTCCTCGGCGCGCCTTGACCATTCAAACTTCCAATATTGCCTGAGAGACTAGGATTTGCAAGTGCCCCGTTCGCAGAGGATGGGGGAGCTAGTTGCTCCGGTACACGAGCGCGTCCCTTCCCTTTGTCTGGAAATTGGGGAGACTGCACCATTCCTGGATGCGAGAAACCGGGGATGTTTTCCTCATCCAAGTCGTCGTCGTCATCTACTCAAACCGTCAACTAGGGCATGTTTTAGCAGTATTTAAGATGTACCTGCTTGAATAAACTGAGATGTAGCGGTGAGAGGCGTTCTGTCTGAATCCATTGGAAATAATTGGGAAATATAGGGTAGCTAGAGGCTGCGCGGTTCAGACTTGCCACGCTTCAATCACTCAATACTGTGACGGCGCGTTACAAAGTGTCACGCTCAGTAACGCGTGTCGGAGTTGAAAATGTGTCCAAATTGAGAAGACTGACGCGTCCTCGTCTGGTTTCTTGAATTCAGGCTCTTATTCATCGACTGCCGTCGTTGTCCCCTTCCACTCTACGCATATCCTTATAATCATCTTATAGCATGGTAAGTATTTCCATGTGCTCAGTACGATGGACGCAACTCACGAAAGTCTAGGGTAACGCACCATCGTCTCCTGGAGAAGGAGCTCAGCAGAACCAGGACAAGGATAAGAAAGACCAGCAGCCCGCGAAGAAGAAGTGGGAACCCCCTCTCCCTACTCGTGTCGGAAAGAAAAAGAGACGTGGTC